AATCCCAGGACACTGAAGGGGTCTGCAGACAGGAACACAGAGCTCCTGTCAGTGACCTTTGAGAGATCACGGAGAACAGGAAGCTGACAAAAGATAAAAAGAAGCCAAGGCACTCGCTTTCCATGAAAGGGAGAGAAGATGGATTAGGAAATACATGAGCAGGTAAGCTGGAGACTTGTTCCTGGCAAAAAATCTAGGAGATTCAAATCTTGGTTCTGCTATTTAATGGCAAAGTGACATATTTAAAACATTGCTATAAGGACTTATTAGCTGGGCATGGTGGCACGTGCCTGTAATCCCAGCTACTCAGGAGGCTGAGGCAGGAGAATTGCCTGAACCCAGGAGGCGGAGGTTGCGGTGAGCCGAGATCGCGCCATTGCACTCCAGCCTGGGTAACAAGAGCGAAACTCCGTCTCAAAAAAAAAAAAAATAAATAAAATAAAGTAAGGACTGAATAAGATAACATATGTAAATGAGAGATAATGTATGTAAATAACAATATAGCACTTGTAACAAAGTTCACAGTACAGCATTTTTATATTTCCAACACTTTACAAAGAGGTAGTAACAATGAGGTGTTGGCGTGGGGTTCCTCAAGAACAAGTCTCATTTACCTGACTTCACTTTCTAGTTAGGCGGAGGTACTGAGGGAGAAGGTATTTTTGGACATGAAGATTGGAAACATATCTTCATTTTGAAAAGGTATTTGATGAAAATCTCATAATATCTGCATGACAAGGTTGAATTTTAGGAGAGTCAGGCTTCTGAATAAGCACATTTACGGTATAATTCATAAACTGGGCATGGTGTGGTGGTTCATGCCTGTAATCCCAGCACTTTGGGAGGCCAAGGCGGGCGGATCATGTTGGGCAACACGGCAAAACCTTGTCTCTACTAAAAATACAAAAAAAAGCAGGTCATGGTGGCACATACCTGTAATCCCACTTACTCGGGAGTTAGGAGTTCAAGACCAGTCTGGCCAACATGTTGAAACCCCATCTCTACTAAAAATACAAAATTAGCCAGGCATGGTGGCGTGCGCATGTAATCCCAGCTACTTGGGAGGCTGAGGCAGAAGAATCACTTGAACCCTGTAGGCAGAGACTGTAGTGAGCCAAGATCATGCCACTGCACTCCAGCCTGGGCAACAAAAGCAAAACTCTGTCTAAAAATATACATATATATATAGAACTGGATCGTTCTGTGCCTCAGTTTCCTTACTTATAAAAGGAATGTCATCACAGCACCTCATTGGGTTGTCATGCAAATTACAGCACCTGGCATTTCATCAGCACTAATACATCTCTGTTCCACAGACTGGAAAAGAAGTTTTCAGTGGCATGCTTGTGCAGCACTTGGATCCAATCTCTTGAAAATTTCCATCAGAAACTTGTTAAATTTTCATAAGATGTGCATGATATAAATGTTGGATAATGAAACGAAAATCCAAAATGACCCTAACAGGCCAAGGCTATGATGTGAAATATATGAGATAAAATTAAATCCTGGATAAAGATTTTAAGAAAAATAAACTTTTTTTTCAGACAGAGTCCTGCTCTGTTGCCCAGGCTGGAGTACAGTGGCGCAATCCCAGCTCACTACAACCTCCGCCTCCCAGGTTCAAGCAATTCTCGTGCCTCAGTCTCCCAAGTAGGTGGGATTACAGGTGTGTGCCACCATGACCTGCTTTTTTTTGTATTTTTAGTAGAGACAAGGTTTTGCCATGTTGCCCAAGCTGGTCTTAGATTCCTAGCCTGAAGTGATCTGCCTGCCTCAGCCTCCCAGAGTGCCGGGAATACTGACGTGAGCCACTATGCCTGGCCAAGATTATTATTATTATTTTTTAAACAAATATCAGCCTGGCTTGCCAGAAGTTTCTATAGATAAGAAAGAGAATTTTGACAGGTCATTGTGGCTTATGCCTGTAAACCCAGCACTTGGGGAGACCAAGGCAGCAGGATCACTTGAGCCCAGGAGTTCAAGACCAGCCTGAACAACAAAGCAAGACCCCATCTCTACAAAAAATAAAACGATTAGCTGGGATGGCGGTGGGTGCCTATAGTCCTAGCTGCTCAGGAAGCTGAGGTGAAAAGACTGCTTGAGCCCAGGAGTTTGAGGCTGCAGTGAGTTATAATAACGCTATTGTACCCCAGCCTGGGCAAAAGAAAGACCAAAAAAAAATTTTTAATGAAAATTTAGCTGACTCTAAGCTTAGTGTGCATAAAACAGTGTGTCTAGCACATAATGCAATGTCCAGCTGCATTAGGAGAATGAAAACGTCCTAATAAAGATGCTGTGTGGACATATGTACTCCAAGACAGCAGCCCAGTTTGCCCATCATTAATTCTTATTCTCTCCCTTCCCCTCCTTCTATTTCTTCTAAGTGGTAGCTCAGCTGCTACTATTATGGAGATAAAGATTGCTTCAGAACCCATAAACAATAAGGAAACGTAAAGCAGGAACAGACTACATTTCCAACTTGTTTGGGCGGCAGAAAACATTCTCAGGTGGGTATTGGAGGACAGCCCTGAGACTTGTGAAGAACTATAATTAGAAGTTTATCAGGGCACCCAATGGCTCACCGCTACAATGCTAAAATGTGTTCCCTTGTAATCATGATTACTACAGGATTTATCTAATCTATTTCCTATAAGAAATCAAGGTACTCCCAGATACTTTATCAACTTTTTTCTCATAATATCCCTGCCCCTGACAAAAGAAGATATTGGCATCCCTACAGTATAGATAAGAAATTGAGGCAAAGAAGTACAGTGAATTGCCCTGGGTCACACAGAACTGGAATTACAATTTAGCATCTAATCTTGGAGCGCACTACATGAGGTATGGGAAGGAGCATACTGAAGTCACATTATAGCCTTCAGAAAAAGGCCTATTTACTTTAATCTCTGGGGGAAAGATTAGTAGTATTTTCCTTGCACATGCCAAAGATGTTGAATAGATGTTTTAGATTCCACATGCTCATTCTAATCCTTTTCCAAATACTCGGACAGCCTTAGTTTGACCATTAGAAAGATGCTGGAAGTTAAATTTTTTCTTTAAAATTAAGGCAAATATTTGCTAGAAACTCCAGAAAAAGTAACTAATCCAGAAAACTGTATAGTACAGCCACGTTGTTTCAGGTCACCTGGGGCAAGAAACTTCCAAGTAGGCATAAACCCAGAGAGCTGGCTCCCTCATCCCCCCTCTCCCCTAACCCATTCCCAACCCAACCTCAGGGTCTAGGGCCTGAATAGATAAAGATCAAGTGAGCTCATGTTTTTAACTTTAAAAGTTCCATGCAAGCTGGGTGCAGTGGCTCACGTCTGTAATCCCAGCACTTTGGGAGGCTGAGGTGGGCGGATCACCTGAGGTTGGGAGCTCAAAACCAGCCTAACCAACATGGAGAAACCCCGTCTCTACTAAAAATACAAAATTAGCTGGGCGTGGTGGCGCATGCCTGTAATTCCAGCTTCTCGGGAGGCTGAGGCAGGAGAATTGCTTGAACCCAGGAGGCAGAGGTTGTGGTGAGGCAAGATTGCACCATTGTACTTCAGCCTGGGCAACAAGAGCAAAACTCCATCTCAAAAAACAAAAAAATGTCCATGCAAATATAAGTTATTGTTATAATGATTTATATATCTCAACTAATTGTTGAATGAATCCATGTTCATCAGAAAAACATAGAAAACAAAGGTGAGCAAAAAAATCAAAAAGCAACTGCTATACAATCATGCAGTAAGAGTCTTTTGTACCTGTTTACAAATTGGTTATTTTGGCTTTTTAAAACTTTTTTGGAGACAGGGTCTCGCTCTGTTGCCCAAGCTGGAGTGCAGTGGCATGATCATGGTTCCCTGCAGCCTCAAACTCTTGGGTTCAAATGATCCTACCACCTCAGCCTCCTGATAAGCTGGGACTACAGGTACACGCCATCATGCCCGGCTATTTTTTTTTTTTTTTTTTATAAACAGGGTTTTGCTATGTTGCCCAGACTCATTTCAAACTCCTGAGCTCAAGCAATACTCCCATCTTGGCCTCCCAAAGGGCTTGGATTACAGGCATAAGCCATCTCGTCCGGCCTACAAATTGGATATTTTCTAAGACTCATCTCTTTGGTCAGGCCATGAGGAAATAAGCCAGAAGCTACAACCAACCACCAAGGTTCTATGTGTCATTTCCCTTAAATTAAGTAGAGAAAATGGTGACTTATCCATGGAAAACTATGTTTTATTCTCTTGACACTTATCCCGAAGAGATAAGACCACTACTCAGTATACCTGGTGGTAAGAAGAAGAAATAACTTCCTAGTTGCATTTTATCAGTCTGAAAATCTTACACCACAATTTTAAAATTATGTAATTCAGTGCTCCCCAACCTTTTTTGCACCAGGGACCTGTTTTATGGAAGACAATTATTCCTTGGGAGGTGGGGCGGCGCAATGGTTTCAGATTAAACTGTTCCACCTCAGATTATCAGGCATTAGTCAGATTCTTACAAGGGGAGTGCGACCTAGAACCTTCATATGCGCAGTTCACAACAGGGTCATGCTCCTTGAGAATCAAATGCCACTGCTGATCTGACAGCAGGCAGAGCTTAGGTCGTAATGCTTGTTCACCCACTGCTCATCTGCTGTCTGGCCCAGTTCTTAGCAGCCCTGTACTGTGGCCTGTACTAGTCCATGTTTCAGGACCCCTGATGTCATTCATTTACTTAGACCAGCAAATATCATGGCCAAAATTGATTGTCTATCTATACATACATACACATAGTCTCATATATACAGAAGGTCATGATTTTAAAATATATTTTGATGGGATTCTTCCTTTCTCTCAAAGAAAAGAAACGTACATTTAGAACCTATATAAAAGTAGGCCAAAGAACTGTTAATATTCAGCAAAAGATGAGTACGGTAGAATCTTTCCAAATAGCGGGCAGTGTCACTATTCGGAAGAAACGCAAAGTTGCATCCCTTTCTTTTTCTCACACTAAAATCATGCCGTTACCTTTTTGTTTGCAGCCACACCATCCTCACAGTCGAGCACTGCACAATCCACATTCAGCGATGGAATCTTCTTTATTTTCTTTTCATCATTTCCAGGTACATAAAGCACTGCCCTCCGGGGGACATACTTGTGACTGGATGAGGAGCTATATCCAAACCTGGGGACATCAGCTGCTAGAGACGCTCTCCTGCAAGACACATGACTGGGGTTAGTCCAGAGAGATTTCTGTATTTATAAACTTGTGAAAAACTTTATTTTAATGCAAAATTAAAATAGATCCCATGGATAATCTTTTTTTTTTTTTTTTTTTCTGAGAAAGGGTCTTGCTCTGTCACCCAGTTTGAAGTGCAGTGGTGTGATATCAGCTCACTGCAACCTCCACTTCCAGGCTCAGGTGAACCTTGCATCTCAGCCTTCCCAGTACCTGGGACTACAGGTGTGCACCACCATGCCAGGCTAATTTTTGTATTTTTTGTAGAGACAGGATTTTGCCATGTTGCCCACGATGGTCTTGAACTCCTCGGCTCAAGTATCTACTTGCTTTGGCCTCCTGAAGCGCTGGGATTATAGGCCTGAGCCACCATGCCCACTCGATAGTCTTTTAAAATTATGGCAGAATATAATCCCATATCAAAACAAAAATAGCAAAAATAATCAATGAACTAAATGTTATCTTGGCTGAGGTTTAAAAAATAGGTAGGACTGTTTACTGACATCTTCTGAGAGGAAGAGTAGGGTGTACATATTTCTTCTGGGAAAACACTTCCAGTATTGTTATACTCTCTAGATAGCATCCGTGGAGAAAAAGGTAAGAAAATGTCTATCCACCTGGCCGGGCGCGGTGGCTCAAGCCTGTAATCCCAGCACTTTGGGAGGCCGAGGCGGGTGGATCACAAGGTCAAGAGATAGAGACCATCCTGGTCAACATGGTGAAACCCCATCTCTACTAAAAATACAAAAAATTAGCTGGGCATGGTGGTGCATGCCTGTAATCCCAGCTACTCGGGAGGCTGAGGCAGGAGAATTGCCTGAACCCAGGAGGCGGAGGTTGCGGTGAGCCGAGATCGCGCCATTGCACTCCAGCCTGGGTAACATGAGTGAAACTCCGTCTCAAAAAAAAAGAAAATGTCTATCCAAAAACAACAATACTATCTACGATTATACATAAAAGTAAAAATGTAGACCAAAAATAAAATACTAAAGAAGCATTAGTCTATGGCCCTTGCCCTACTAATACATCTTTTAAAGTGGTAAATCAGTGATTCACATTCAATCTTAACAGCAGACAAGAGAGACTAGTTATTTTTAAGTGAATGCCTCTGTAATTGTAGGCAACTTAATTACTGGTAACTTCAGATTCTTCATCTATAAAAATAATACTCATTTTGTAGGATGTTGAGAAAATTAAATTAAAGGAAATAATAAACATGAAGCACTTAGCCAGAGCCTGGCAGATATTTTAGCTACTTGAAACGGTGGTGGGCGTAGCAGGAGCGCCAGCAGCTGCTGTTGTTAATGGAGAATCTCTAGCTGTCAGTGGCTCCTGCCTGCTTCTCAACTATGCTCTTTCTTTCCCTTGCCTATCATCTTTCCCAAGTTCAGTCTCTGGTAGAAATAAAAGGTGTTGGCCAGAAGCTCCTTTGGCTTACCGCTGCCCTTGCCTGGTCCATAGCTTATGCTGTGAAAACCATGCTTTAGCTCATACGATACGGTAAAGGAAGATGAAATCAGCTCCCATAATCAGAACCAGCTAGACAATTTGCAGGCCCCGATGAAAATGAAAATGCAGAGGTCTTTGTTTATAATTTATTAGAAATTTCACAATAGCAACAGAGGAGAAGAATATTAAATCAAGCACTAGGCATTTCTAAGAGCACAAATGACACATCCATGAAGCCAGCGCTGCCCATAATAGATGAAGTTCTATGTCATGAAGGCTGTCAATTCCAATAGTTTGGGAAGCTGAGGCAGGCAGATCACTTGAGTCCAGAGTTTGAGACCAGCCTGGGCAACATGGTAAAATCTCATCTCTAGTCAGGAAAAAAAACCAAAAAGCAAAAATTAGCCGGGCATAGTAGCATGTTCTTGTAGTCCCAGCTACTCGGGATTGATTGAGGCCAGGAGGTCAATGAGGCTGCAGTGAACTCTGATCGTACCACTGTACTCCAGCCTGGGCAACAGAGCAAGACCTTGTCTCAGAAAATAAAATAAAAAATCAAAAAGATTGCCAGTTAAGAAAAGTTAAAACCCTAGCAAACTGATGTTTTACTCTCAGTAGATAAATGGCATGATCTTTAAAAAAATATGTCAGCTATAGTCTTCATGAAAACTCTGGACATCAGTAGTTAATACGACCAAATATCTTGCACAGTTGTAAGATTTCACTATAATTAGTGTGCTTGTGACTTAATGTATCTCAAGAAAAATCACTGTCTTTCGGGGTCTTGCAAGTTTATGTGGGGGCCCTCAAACCTTCTTGTAGCCAACCTTACCTTAAGGAACTCTAAAACTTGAGTCTGTGTCTTATTTTGCCACATGTATCATGTGAAGTATGGTGAGATAGAGTTGGATTTGAAAAATGTACATGGCTTATGAAACATATCATTTAATATAAAACATATTATGGCCAGCTAATTGAAGAGTTCCTGAAATATCTGTCATTGTTTTTCACTGATTGAAAGTATCTGGTTTATCTAAAAGCAGGGAGAAAACATAATGATGTAACAGCAGCAACCACATTTTACTTATCATTCACACTGGAGACCAGAATGTGTAACATATACATTTCCCTAAAAATACCAAGAAATGCTTGGAGCAAAATCTCTGCTCATCAGGATTTAATGTAACCACACATGTGAAAACCTAAGAGAGGGGGAAGAGGATGGAGTACAAAGCACCAACAATCTTCCCCACCCAGACAACTGCATTAGCAAAATCTTTCTCCTGTAACTATTCTGAAACTATTCTGGAATCAATTAAAGGCTTGCAACTTCTAGGGGAAGGCTTGGATATTAAATGGTGGTTAATTTTAGTCAACTTCAGCTCTAAGCAGAGTAGCAGCTACTCTCAGTCACACAGTAGGCAGCTGCGCCCATGTTCCTGGAGCAACCTGCACATAGCTTGAGGGAGCCAGGGGGCACAAAAACAAAGACCCAGACCCTCCAAACATCAAGGATCTGTGCTCTGATCACTGATTGCTGGTTCTGATCACAGACGTGCAGATAAAGAGGCTGAGAGCCATTGTTATTACACCTGCCTCCAATGTGGCAAGGCCCTCTCCATTTGGGCTGAAGTGACCTTCAGGTAATTTAAAGGCCAGCACTGCCCCCATTAATTTTTTGCTTTTTTCCCTTTTCGAAGCCAGACATTAAAGACTACAACATTCAAAAACAAACACATATATAGGGAAAAATAGAAATGACTGTGCATGCCCAGAGAAAGGCTCAGAAAAGACCTGAGAAGCTGGGCGTGGTGGCTCATGCCTGAGATCCCAGCACTTTGGGAGGCAGAGGCAGGACAGGTGAATCACCTGAGGTTGAAATTTGAGACCACCCTAACCAACATAGTGAAGCAACAGCTCTACTAAAAATACAAAAAATTAACCAGGTGTGGTGGCCCATGCCTGTAATCGCAGCTACTTGGGTGGCTGAGACAAGAGAATTGCTTGAACCTGGGAGGTGGAGGTTGCAGTGAGCTGAGATCACACCACTGCACTCCAGCCTGGGCAACAGAGTGAGATTCTGTCTTAAAAAGAAAAGAGAGAGAGAGAGAGAGAGAGAGAGGCTAGGTGTGGTGGCTCACACCTGTAATCCCAGCACTTTAGGAGGCCAACGGCGGATCATGAGGTCAGGAGTTCAAGACCAGCTGGAACAACATGGTGAAACCCAGTCTCTACTTAAAAGTACAAAAATTAGCTGGGCATGGTGGCATATGCCTGTAATACCAGCTACTCAGGAGGCTGAGGCAGTAGAATTGCTTGAACTCAGGAAACAGTGGTTGCAGTGAGCTGAGATACAGCCGTTTGCACTCCAGCCTGGGTGACAGAGCAAGACTCTGTCTCAAAAAAAAAAAAAACATGTAAAGAAAGAAAAAGCAAAGACTTGAGAAGACCTTACATTTATACCTCAGGCTTATCCTTAGCATACGCACAGTATACAACCATCAAATAAGTAAACAAAAACATTGAGCCCAGTGGAGGCAGAGAATCTGATTTCCAGATACCACAGTATGATTCAAACATCTACTTTTTAACAACAATTAAAAAAAAAATCACAAGACATATGAAGAAAGAGGAAAATATGGCCCAGTCAAGGGAAGAAAAAGAAGTCAACAGAAATGGTCACTGAAAGAGACCTGATGGCAAAGACTTTAAAAAACTGTCTTAAAGATGCTCTAAGCACTAAAGGAAGATGTGAAGAACATCAAGATAATGAAGTATGAACAAAATGGAAATATCAATAAACAGACAGAAAACTTAAAAAGATATCACAAATCCCAGAACTGAAAAGTACAATAACTGAAATGAAAAATTCATTAGAGGTATTCAAAGACAGATTTAGCAGGCAGAAGAAAGGATTAGCAAAGTTGAAGAGAGGGCAATGGACATTATCAAGTCTGAGGAATAGAAAAAAGACTGAGAAGTGAACAGAGCCTAAAGGACCTGTGGGACACCATCAAGCAACACACGCACGTACTGTGGGAATTCCAGAAGGATAAGGAGAGAGAAAAGGGTAGCGAGAGTATTTTGAACAGATAATGGCTGAAAACTCTCCAAATTTGGTGAAAGACTTAAATATAAACACCCAAGAAGTTAAATGAACTCCAAATAAGATAAATTCAAGGGCACCCACACCTAGACACATTAAAATCAAACTTTCAAGAACTCAAAAACACCCATACCTAGACAGATTAAAGTTGAACTTTCAAAAGTGAAAGACTTCCAGTTCTGAAATGGTGGCAAAGAAGTAAGCTGGCTTCGGTACCCACCTCTCCCCAACAGAACAATGAAAACAAATATACAGTGCTGGAATTATCACCAAAAGTATCTTAGAACTCAAATATGAAGATGTCAAATATGAGACAGTTCTCAGGACCCCAGAAAAAACCCTGAGCAGAGGGTAAGACAACTGGATTTCTATGTAACAACACTCCCCACATTATGCCAATCACCATGCATGCAAAAGCATT